TGTGCAGTTATTTGGGAGATTGAGGCTGGCTGGTCTGATTCATATGTCTGATGGTTGGTGCTATTAGCTGGACCTTCCTCACCCCATGGTCTCATGGTTGGTTCTAAGAAGGCAAGCCCTAAAGCACATTTGTATCACATTTGCTGATGTCCCATTGGTAAAAGCAAGTCACATATCTAATCCCAGAGTCAGTGCTGTAGGGGATCTTACAATGGAGTAGATACTGGAAAGTATGGAGGCCATTAATATACCAGTCTACTACAAAGACCAAAATGTATCTATTGAAACCTCATACACTAAGGCTTCAAAGTGCTGCCATTGTCTCTAAATTGCTACTGTTGACTGCCAGAATTTGTTCAGTCTTCTGGTCCTGTTTCATTTTTACATAGGCAGTAACACTTGTCACTGTTTTTAATCTCCTCTTTTAGCCATTTCTACTTGTGCTCAAGTAGGAACAGGACCATCAGGATTTTGCCAATTGGTTAACTGTATCAGACTGAAATTTCTAATAATGCATCTGAAAGTAGGTCCCATGGGTAACACGATATTTACCAATAGCAAGAAAATGCTGCTGAAAAATGATATGAGAAAGCTTAAAATGCTTTTTTTACTTAAAGATCGACAAAGGTGGTTTCTGTGCCCACAGTTCCTTCATTTCCTTTTTTATTTCCTTTCTTTGTCTGGTTTTAAGGAACTAATACAGCATCTGGTGAGTATTTGTTTGGTTTTAAGCTCTTTCTGTGAGTTTGTCAAGACAGTGAGGAAATTAAGTACTGATTTTAAATGATTTGTTGGGAAGTTTGTTTCTTTTTTTTTTTAAGAGGAATCTCACTGTGTTGCCCAGGCTGGACTTGAACTCCTGGGATCAAGCAATCCTCCTGCCTCAGCCTCCCAAGTACCTGGAACTGCAGGCATGCACCACTGCACCCAGCTGTGTTTGATTTTTTTTTTTTTTTTGACATTGGTAATTTCATAGCTAGTGAAATTGTGAATTAACTTTGTTTAAAATAGTAATCACTGGCTTGGCACAGTGGCTCATGTCTGTAATCCTAGCACCTTGGGAGGCCAAGGCGGGTGTGGACTGCTTAAGCTCAGAAGTTGAAGACCAGCCTCAGCAACATGGTGAAAACCCATCTCTACAAAAACTATAAAAATTAGCCAACTGGGACCAACTATAAAAATTAGTTCCAACTACTTGGGTGGCTAAAGTGGGAGAATCACCTGAGCCTAGGAGGTCGAGGCTGCAGTGAGTTGTCATCATGCCACTGCACTCCATCCTGGGAGACAGAGCAAGACCCTGTCTGGGGAAAATAAAAAATAAAAAAAAAAAGAAAAAAAGAAAATAGTAAACACTAAACTAAAACAATCTTTCGAAACATTAGAGGCACAAAAAAGGTTTTTAAGATCATTAAGCTAAAGTCATTCTAATTCAGAGGAGGCACATTAGATGTAGAGTTTCTAATAAGTAATTTGTTAGAGAATTTGACAATAGATTATGGAATTATTGTTTGTGTTGGAAGGAACACAAACAGGCATACCTTGGTTTCGAAATCTGGCTTCTGCACCTGTTAGGGGCAAGTTTAAAAATATTGTTCACCTTTCCTCATCTGTAAGATGGAGATTATACCCTCTGTCTCCAAGATTGTTATGAAAATTAGACAAGAAAATATATAAGAATGTCTCCTACCTGGTAGACACTCAGTAAATGCTGGCTTTTCTTTCAGTTCAGTGCCCTTTCCACTGTATCAGGCTGCCGACCTTTTACTGTTAATGTCTGCTCGGTGATAAAACAGCAAAACAGAATCATGAGGCTTTTTTAAAAAAATTCTGTTCATATTTCAGAAACTTGTTTCTTCCTTCGCAATCCCTTTTGTCTCCCTCTCCTATACTTCCTTCTCATTTATCCCCCGACCTTTTTTTCTCCTTCATTCTTTGCCTGCTACCTAATGACTTCAAATATTTTTCTTATTTTCCTGTGCCATTCTTATATATCAGTTTCTCTAACTTTGTGGGATCATGTACTCCTTCTTCCCTGCTTCTTCAGGCCAGATAAACTCATGCGACTAGATCTTAATATATCAGAAACTGACATCTTAAAAAGGAACTTATTAAGAGCTGACAATAAAATTGTACATTATTCTCAACTCTCAAATGGCTTATTTATGCAGCTAGTCAGAGAAGGGTTTCCCTCTCATAGGACAAGAAACATTCAACTCTTCAGTGACAGTGAATGTCATGAAACTCAAGATGTGGAGCAGGAGGAAGAGGCTGTCTCCTAGAATACATTACCTGTGAGACTAAGAGAAAATTCTCTTTTGAAAAGGCAACTGTGACAGTGGAGATGTATTTCCAGTGATCTGAGATTAATGAGTCATAAGTAGGACAGGTAGATTTCTACTCTAGTTTTTAGCAGCATTGTTACTTAAATAGAATTTAGATAAACGGGAAGCCTAGAAATCAAATCAGCATTTACAACACAGTGCCATTGTGATCGTTGAATGAGGTAACCAATTTGTAAAACCAATAAATTCCTAAATAAACTTTGTAAAAAACCCTCTTTTTGAGTTTGGGGCTTGTTTTAGTGATGTTTGTATGTATTATATGTGTGTACATATGTACATCTATATACATATAAATTGTGTACAAAACTAAACATTATGGAAATTGTAAAATAGAAATTTCATTAGAAGTCTACTAATTCATTTCTGCATGGTAAGTAAACACTCTTAAAATTATGTGCCAGATATTATCTGTGCCTTTTTCTGGGGAGAGAACATAAAAGATACACAGTTACAAATATTCTTAAAGGGAGGGGAATGGTTCTCAAAAGGAAAGAGCTTCAGCTATAGGATGTATAGATTTATTTCTGCATGTACACACACACACACACACACACACACACACACACATATATTTGAGTATCAAATGTTATGCATTGTGTTAACATTTTATTTACATCTGGTGTGGAATCAGTGGTAATCAGGACTAGTTGATAGAATTATGACAATCATTTGTGGCATACAATATTGAATACTTTGTCATAACTTTATATCCTAAGCCATAACTAGTATTACATGGATTTGCCAGGAATTTGGTACAGATAAGACATTCCAGAGATTTGTATGATTTGTCTCTTATCCTAAACTCTTCCTGTAGTTTAAGGAATATTTGACTATTCTAGTTAGTGCCTGAATTTTATATTTGGCTTTATTTAATACTATAAGAATTTCTGTTTTGCCATCCTTTTTATCTTAAATTTAACCAAAAAAGAACTGAAATACATTATTTCCCCAGTGCTATTTTCTACGTGATTTGAATGAACTATAAATGCTATATATTCATATAAAGATTTTGATCTTCAACTTACATTTTATCCAAAGTATTTGAAAGAAAGTTGGGAAGATACATATTTGTTATCAGGACCAATTTATTTTATTTTATGTGTTTTAACTTCATGTATTAATAGACATACAAAGATGAATTTTCAGTAGGCCTCCTTTGATTTTTTTTTTTAATACACTCACCACTCTATAATAAAATACAGCTGTGTACTGTAGTGTTTTCTTTAAAATTAGATGTGTCGGTTGTCTTCATAGTTTGAATTCCAAGACATGAATGAGAGAAGCTTATCAAAAACTGTATTGTGGTTACATTCTAAAAATAACAGTTTTATTGAGATGTGATTCATATACCATCAGATTAACTCTTTCAAAATATACATCATATTTGCAACTTGTTTTTCAGTGATTCAGAAGAAGAATCATTATATACATTAGAGGAAGAGAAACATGATAAAAGTTAACAGTACGGGAATCTGAGTAGAGAATATGGAGGTTTTTGGTGTATAGTTCTTGCAACTTTGTTTGAAATTATTTCAAAATATATCTTTTTTTCTTTTTTCCCAGCACTGATGGCTTGGGTGAATTAGAATGTTTTTTAAATTACAAAAAGTGTATGGTGTGTTGGGGGCCTTAATATATTCACAGAGTTGTGTAACCATCACCACTGTCTAATTCCAGAAAAAAATTTTAAGCATAGTTTTTGTTTGTTTTCCTGTTCTTTCCTTTTTCTTGATATACAAAAGTTAACATATCTTGACAGAAAAATTTCTGTACAATGTTCTTACAGTTTTAAAATGTTGAACTAAAAGACCAAGGTATGTCATAAGTACAAGGAAATAAAGTAGAATTAGGGCACATAAAATGAAAATTCTTACTTGACAAAGAATTTGTTGAAACTTTTGTGTGGAACTCTGGAATAAATCGTCAGTGTTATGCAAAACTGTGTCTACTTCTTAAAACTTGAATTGAGGAAGGAAATGCTTTGTACCAAGATGGCATATGCTTTATTATAAGAACATTTCTGTTTCTTCCTCTGATACTACTTTGTTCATTGTAGTGTATCTTCCTCTGAGAGGGTTTAAAGAACTGCCTTAATTTTGTATTCGTTGGAGCAACATAATCAATGTTTGCAATGTTTTGATAAAAGTACATTTTTAATAAAATTATTATAAACTCCCATAATTTTCAAGTCAGTTTTCACTTTTGTTAATGATGTATGATATTGTTCTTCCTTTTCTCTTAATTGGAATTTATAAACTCTTAGTAAATGCAGATACATCTGGTCTAGAACATATCATTTGTTCATAGTGTCAAAAAATAGGGAAGATTAGTTTGCACTACCATTGTACCTTACTTTTTATAATGAGTGTACTCTGAATAAGCACTAAAAAATGCAGTTGCATGTAAATACAATTGAGGTTCTATCTAATCCCCTGATTCAAAATGACCCAGACAGAGGTCTGCATAGGGACAAGGAGAAGTAAGACATTTTTTCATTCTTTAGAATATAGAAAAAGACTTTATAAAAATGGATTTTTATGTCAATAGGTACAAATTATTTTAAAGTATTTTCTATAAAGTATTATATAAAACAGTGCTCATGAGTCTTAGGATTATACAAAGCATGTTTTCTTATATTGTTTTACTTATTTTCTTTAGGAAAAGTAGCCATCAAAAAAGAAGACCTGTGTAATCACAGTGGCAAAGAAACCTGGTTTTCATTACAGCCTGTTGACTCCAATTCAGAGGTTCAGGTAAATATTAAGGCTTATATAATACAAGAGATTGTCACAGGAAATGAGTGAAAAATGAACTAATTAAACTAGTTCATGAAAATAGAGCATATTATACCTTATTTTAAATTCTGACATCAAATATTATAGACCTTTGGGTAATATAGAACAGGAAGGTAATGGCTTTGTCACATTGTTTCAAGAATAATGTTCATGCGTATGTATATGTGTAGATTTGGGGAGATTAGGGCATTTCTTTCTTACCTTAGTTCTTCTGTTTGAGTCACAATAGCAAATTATTTTTTTTCTTTAAGGGGAAAAGTTTTAGGGGAAAAGATGTGTTTTATCCACTCTGATTTTGGGAAGAATTCCTGGAAGTCTGATTTCATCTGTCCTGATCAGGATTCTCTGTTTTATCTCTTGTAAGCTGAACTTGGGGAAATGTTATTCATTTAAACCCTGCCTGAGCCCACTGTGCACAGTCTTCACTCCCACACCCACCCTTCCTGTTGTTCACCTCGCTTTTTATTTGAAAGGGTATCATTACTGTTTAATCTCTCTTTTCTTTTTACCAAAATAAGAGACCTTTTTCAGATTCTGTATCCGAGTAAAGATGTGTGTTTAGCCATGTAGCTGAAGTTTTTATTTGTTTTTAGAAAATCTGAGTTGCTCTGTCTTAGAAATTATTATTTCTATCTAAAGGGAATCTTTCTGTTGTATATTTATTTATAAAATATGGTAAGGATTGTGAAACCATTTCCCGAGGGCATAATTGCTGCAGGATTCTTCCTCTCTAAAAGAAGTTATAATTTGCCACTGTGACTCAAACAGAAGTTTAAGACAAGAAAAAAGTGCTACACCCACACCACAGATAATTTGCAACTAAGTGCCTGTGTCTTCATTTCATCATAATCTCTCATTCTCTTTGATTATTAAATTCTCAAAAAATTATTTGTGCACTATAACCCCTTCTTAACTACAAAATATAACATACTTTTCCTATTTAACCTACTTTGCCATGTTTTAATGTTCTTGTCTTTCCATATGACCGTAACTATGACTCAGATCCCAATTGTACAGTATTGTAAATGATCCATGTTAGAGGCAATGCGAAGAAGTGGAAAGGGTTTGAATTAAAAGGCAGAAAACTTAGGTCCTAGTTTTTATATGTAGTTACTTAAATAACATCGAATTTCATTTCTATAAAGTGAGAATAAAAGTTGCCGTATTTAATTCATATGGTTGTGAGAATTAAGTGAAATATCTGTAAGAATAGTTTAAAAGCTGTTAATGCTATACAAATGTAAAATATTAACAGCAGTCAGTCTGGTGGCTATTTCCCTAATACTCCTTTACCAAAAGGCAGATATGAAAGTTTTAAAGTACCAGTTGTTCTTCTAATAGTTTTCACAAAAGGCAATATAGGAAAAGGCTTTGAAAATTTAGTATAAACTGAAATATTATGAATCATTAAATTTCATAAAACTCATAAATGTTATGAGTTTTACATACATTTGCTAAATGATTTAAGAGTTCCATCTCTCAAAAGGTAGAAATCTATATAGAATACTCCTCATAGAGTTTTTGGAGATGGTACTAGAGATTAGTACAGGGACACAAACCTTTATTTGATGGTGTGTGTGTATATATGTATGTATGTATGTATACATGCGTTACATATGCATGTGTATGCTTATTTGTAGATATACACATATGTATATGCGCATGTATATGTGTGTGTGTGTGTGTATATATATATATACATTTGAGATATGTATATATCTAATCTATGAAATGAAAATTTGTGGAAGCAGCAGTTACCCATTAGATATAATATAGTTATCTTAAAATCTGTGCAAGTAATTTTCATGAGTATGAATTATTAAACTTTACAACTCTTTTGTCTTAAATGACAATTAATAAGATTTACCCACTATTTAAAATATATTTTAAAAGGAAAAGTACTTTAGGGGGTGCGAGAGACATATAACACTTTCGGGTTAATATGGTACCATTGAAAATGTTGTCGTCTGGCCCCAGTACTGATATGGGAATACTAAATTAACTTTGTGAGTCTAGAAAAGATAGAAAATCATTCCATGGTTCATACAATCTTACTTTGTTAATAAATTTGTTCACTTCCATAAACTTTATAAAATTTTACAAAAATAGGAAACATAAGAGCAATGGGAAATAAGTGAAAGCTATTAAACAGATTGAGTTCAACAGGAACTTGGCCTGATAATTACTATTAGTAATTATACCAGTATAAGCACAGTACTAAGTACTTAATGTGGTTTAATTTTCAGAATAGATTATGAGGTAAATAGTATTACCTCCATTTTACAAATAAGGCAAATGAAATTCACAGAGGTTAAATGTGTTCTCCAAAGTTACAGAACTACTAAGTAGTGGAACCTTGATTCCAAAAGAGATCTGTCCGATTCTAATACTCCTAACCACAGTGCCTTTACTATCTTTCACTATTTTGTACTATAAATCATAAAAAAAAAAAATCAATAGATTAGGAGTATCACTTAAGTAACATCCGAGTTTAAGGAACAGAAGTCTGCTCAGATTTGCTCAATGGAAATGGGAGAGGGCATTAGAAAGCTCCTAAGAGTTTCTTGGAATGTTATTATGGGAACTTTACATGGCCAGTGTGAGCTAGAAAGCTGTCAGGCATTTGCAGAGGAGCTTCACCTTAAGAGGAGGTTAGATTCTTAGAAAAACAGACATTAAAATTTACATAAGTTCATCTGTAAAATGAGTATATAAAATAAAAGGTTTTTAAAATTTGCATAAGTTATACTTATTTTTAAAAAGAATTTAGTTTCTTATAAAATACCTTAAGGTGTTGGGTGGTTTGTTTTTGATTGACAATTACATAAAATAATTGGCTTTCGTTCCGGACCATGGTAAATGAAAACTATATACTGTATCTTTAAACTGTAAACCCCCACACTCAGTACTGCAGGTGGCACATGGAAACTGAGATCCACCGATCATTTCTTCCTATTCATATATATATTCACTGTATATATTGAGCTCATTGAGTATAAGTGCTCACTGTTTAAATATTGTTTTTTTCTCCCTTTCATGAAGTGAATAATGTTTTATTTCAGTCTTTTCCTCTCATTTTAATAACTTTTCACTTTGCAAAAGATAAAGGAAAGAAAAAATACCATTTAATTTTGAGATTTCATTGTATTCTTTTTGTATGTATGATAAGACATATCTCTTCCCCTGCTTCTCTCTGTAAATCTACTCCCTTTGTTGTTGAGATCTAAAAGAGGCCACACCAGTTTTTGAGTCTATGTTACCATACACCTTCCTAACCTCTAACATCTCACTCAGTTTTCTGCCACAATTTAGAGAGAAAATTTGGCTAGACTTGGGTCAGATGTCCACTATAATCTAATTTGATATGGTTGGAGGAAAAATCGCTGTAAGGCAGTACGTTTTGGGGCATTGAGTAGGCATGTTCCCAAAGGAAAGGGGTTTGGGTAGAGGAAATGATTGCATTGCTACCTCAGTGGGAGAGATACTTGTTTCCTAGTTCTACCACTAATTAGCATTTGTGCCCCAAATAATTGCTAGCCTATTGTTACCTGAGGATCTTATCTATGAAATGATAAAGTCAGCATAAAGGGTTCCCTTGGTTGTGAGGTTCTAGGGAAATAACATGCAGAAATGTAATTTAGCTTTCAAGTGAAAAGATCCTAATAGTATTAAGATTGGCTTTATGCCAAAACAGTTGAAAAATTGTTAGGAACTATAACCTCTTTGAATTGTCCAGTTCAAAATATTAATGTTTCATGAGTGTATTTTTCTACCTTTTTTTTTTTTTTTTTTTTTTTTTTTTTTGATTTAGGTTTTGGCTTGATTCTACCTTTTGTAATTTTTCCTTCTGGGCTGAACCATTTTTTTTTTCTCAACCAATTGTAATCTGCTTTCAGACTCTGCATTGGGTCAGAGGGAAAACAAAAATGGTTCTTTTTACCAATGACATTGTATGAATAAGTCTAGTGGACATTTTTCAGTCCTCATCTTACTTGATCTTTGAGCAGCTTTTGATACTGGTGACCACTCCCTTCATTTTGAAGCATTCTCTTCCTTAGTTTATGGTCCTAGTTATTATCTACTTCATTTGGTATTCTTTCTCGATATTCTCTGCCGCATATGTGAAGTTAATATGGGTTGTGCTGGTGCTTTCTATAAATCCTATTTTGGCTTCAGTGAACTGTAGCCGTGCTATTAGTTATAGGGTCCTGGAATGTGCCAGAAAAATGTAAGTACTTAGCCTTTCTTTATTTCTTAGGCACTATGATAAAAAGCATACTTTACATACAGTTAAGTAAAACAGGCCAGGTGCTGTGGCTCCCGCCTGGAGTCCCAGCACTTTGGAGGCTGAGGCAGATGGATTGCTTGAGCCTAGAAGTTCAAGACCAGCTTGGGCAGCATAGTGAGACCCCATCTCTATAGCAAAAAAATAGAGTGATTAAACCAAATCTCCCATGTGGAGAATTTGCTGCTCTCATTAATTAAGGAGTCTGTCTCACACAACTTGTCCAAGCAGTAAATCCAGATGTGCTATCAACCACGTCCTGTATGATGCAATTACTTAATAGGTCTTTACCAACAAGCGCATCTTGAATTTCTGGATCATGCCATAAATTATTGATTGTTTTATAGATTTTTTTTAAAAGGCCTCTGCCTTACCTGTTTAACAAGACATTTAAAAAGAAATGCAATAATTATATCTAATAATATATATACCAGGTTTTTAAAAAGATGCCCTATTTAAGACATAATAAATATAAAAACGTAATTCATTATTGCAGGTTGATTTTTTTAAACTTCATTTTAAATTTTTATATGTGAATTAAAGGAATGAACCATTCTAGATTATATTAAATACTTCTTTAAGGAGAAAACGATACCTTCATAAAGAACTGCCATTAATATAAGAGATACTAAATAAAACTTGTATTTTACTTTTTCATCTGATGGGCAGTTGT